GAGTTTCCCCTTCTGATTGGGGGTGGAGCTTGGAAAGGCAATCAGGGATAAGGTGGTTAAGACAGTAATTCCTGGTTTTGGGGGAGTGGTACCATATAGCTGGTATTTCAAATAACATACCTCCTCTGTGTGTGTGTGTGTGTGTGTGTGTGTGTGTGTGTGTGTGTGTGTGTGTGTATAGATGTGTGTGTGAGTGGGGGCTCATTTTGGTAACTTCTGCCCCTCTGCTTCTGAGTTCTGTGTCACATTTATTTATTTTAACGTAAATTAAAGTTAACTTTTTTTATTTTGAGAAATCTGTGATGTAAAGGGAATATCGTTGGGGAGATGTGTCCAGTGGGTGTTGGGGAACCCTAAAGGTGTAGGAAAATGGCTTCTTCCTCTGGGAAGTATTGATTGAAAATCTGGTTTGGGAAGTGCTGGGGCTTCTCCCCAGGGCCAAGGGTATGTGGTGGCTGTCAATGGATCGCACCCAGGGTGCAGGGTGATTGACAAGACACTGAGGACAGGCTGAGAGGGTGGCGCTGTGGGGGGTTAAAAGTGCCCCCCACCCTTTAGCCTGGACATGAAAGGCCCCTCACCCATCCTTGGTTTCTGTCCCAGGGTTTTCTCCATCCCCGGGTCAACCTCTCTACCACCCCTAGTTGACTTCAGCTTGCTCCCCATCGCTCCCCGTCCAGGTATGGGCTTCTCCCCAGGTGGCCCCAGGATGCCAGGATTCTAAAGACCATGTTTCTCCCAGAGTCCTTGTCCTGTGACATCTATCTCTGTGACATTCTCTAAACATCAAATTGTGTAGTAGTCGTAGCCGTAGTCGTCATCGTAGTCATAGTCGAGTACTGCTCGTAGTACTTGTAGTCATTGTAGCAGCAGTAGCAGCATTTTGGTTAATTGTCTGGTGACCCCCGAATTGCTGTATAAACCTAACCTCTGGTGCCAGTTTTCATGTTCACAGCTTTCAAATAAATGCCTCCTGGCCCTTGGTTGTCCAGCGGTTTTGATTCTGGGTGACATATTGTTTTATCCTTTTTAAATTTTAAAGCATTTCCACCTGGAGAGAAGCTTCATTTTGGGCTTGGACTATGATGTACAGTCTCCCACCGGTATCCCTCCAGGTGTCAGGCCTTGGGCCTCAGGCTGGTGGGGCTGGGTGGTCAGCCAGCTTAGGTGGGCTGGCCTTTCCTTCCTGTCCCACCTCTCACTGGGCCTTCTCAATAAACTTTCCCCTCAATCTCTCACGTGTCTGACTACTCCATTTCTCCTCTCTTCTTGCCTTTCACTTCCTCTCCAGGGCTAATTTAGCATGGTCTCCATTTGACAGGTGAAGATTTTAATTCAGACCTTTTGGGCTGAGATCTGAACGTCCATATTTTGGCTGGAAGGCCAGGAAGAGTCTCAGCTTAGATTAAGGCGGACCTAAACCAGGTTTGAGAGCTAGGCCAGTGATTTCACTGGCACAGGGAGCTCCCAGGTGAGGAAACTCTTCCGCCAGTGCAGGTCAGCTCCTTCTCTACAACTTAGAGTCTTTGAGGGTTGTCTAGAGCTTAGACAGGCAGCTGACTTGGGAGCAGGATCACTTGGGTTCAAACCCTACTCTCTGTGTGACTTCAGACAATTTACTTGATCTCTTGGTATTTTAGGGGTGGGCTTAAGAGTAAAAGAAGAAAAGAAACCAAACTGTCTGGTGCTTTTGGAAGAATTCTGTAGCCAGATGTGAAACTTGAATCTCTTGGCTAAAGGAAGACTCTTCCATTGGTTGGTGTTGTCCTCAGAGATGCTCTAAAGCCAAGACGCTTTGGTTTGACTGCTGCCTGTCTTGCTGGAGAAGGGGAGAGGGCCCTCGGAAGGTCCCCCTATCAAGCGGATGGCAGGAATGGCAAGAGCCCTAGGTGTGAACTCGGATGTGTCCAGGGCCGTGGAGGCAGCTCAGCTGCAGAGGCGTGCTCCTGCAGGGCCTGGGCATCTGGACGCAGAAGAGGCGCTCACGGGTAGCTTCTTTCCTCCCACAACTTAGAAGTGGGCGTGCGTAGTCAGAGAGGCAGGATTTGATGCACAGGGGGACCTGTTTGAAGGTTGGAATCCCCAGCTCCTATCTTTTCTAGCTTAGTGACCCTGAGCACATCATTCATCTCTCTCTGAGCCCTGGCAGCCTTATCTGTGATTGAGAATAATGTTGGCACTGCAGTGTGGTATTGGTAGAGAGCCGGCCTCCGAGGCAGGGGGGGAGCCTAGGAAGACCTGGGGGTAAGCCTGACCTCCGACACATCCAGATTTAGATGGGCAAGGCTGGAAGTCACAAAGAAAGTGCCAGCCTACATTGATAGAGGGAGTTCCCACGCCTAGGAGTTCCTGGTAGTAATGAAATCACAGACCAGGTCCCTATGCCCAACGAAGGAAGATGAAAAACCTTTTTTTAAAAGTTTATATTCCCTATTCTATCTATACAGCTCACTGCCCAGACTTAGAAGAAGGTACTTTCTAAATCTTAATTTAAACACTACACACACACACACACACACACACACACACACACACACAAAAATAAATCTCAGGCAGTTAGAGGACTTGGGTTCATATCCCGCCTCAGATACTCATCATCTCTGGAACCTTGGGCTGGTCACTTGAGATCTCAGCTCCCCCTCTAAGGTCCTGTGTATATGCATATGTGCATGGGTGTAATCTTGGATCAGCAGTTCTCTTTTCTCACAGTAGATCTATGCTTATATTTAAATAGAAACCAAATTCCTTGGGAGCACATGCTCCTCAACCCTCAGCGGCTTCTTAGTGCTTGTTGAGGCAGTTTGGCGACAGCTGATAGAAGGCCCGGGTTCATGTCTTGTCTCTGGTCAGATGTGTGGTTCACCTCTCAGTGCCCCCAGGTCATTCCCTAGGGCCCGTCTGCTCAGTCACATACAAGTTTCTGTTTCAGTTAATGTAGGGAATTGCCCGTCCTAGGAGTCTCCCCAAAACTAACAGAAATCACAGGCCCAGGAGTAGAGCTGCTGCCAGGTATAGGGAGTGATGGGAAGCATTTGGGGGAGGGGAATGACATATGAGAAATAGGACCCCAAGCAGGCCAAGCCCTTGCTTCTGGCTGGATGATTGAGCTTGGGAAAGCTTCTCCACACAGCTAGTTCAGGGAGGCCTGGCTGTTGTTAGGCACCTGGAGACGTGCCGGTGGGCCTGCTACCTGGGGACATCTCCAAACCTACCTGCCAGCCCCAGTGCCGGTGTGTGCCTATGTGTGTCTGCCTCAGGGACAGGAGAAGCTGCTGCCTTCAGTACTGATTACACACATATACACACCTAGAGCCCACCCCGAGCCTGCCTGAGGCCCATCTGAGGTCTCTCATAAGCAAGCTTTATCTTGGATCCAGGCATGAGGGTCTGCAAGCCAGGGGCCAGATGGTGTCACAGGCGCTGAAGCCACACTGCTGGGTTTCAGGCTATATACTAAGTGGCTCTTTTTGGGGGGTGACTTTCCCTTAGAAGAGCAGCGACAGGGGGCAGAAACTGTGTCCTCAGGAGGGGCTGATGGAATGCTGAAGCTCACACCTGGGGACTGATCTTTGTGGCTCCTGCACAGGCTGGCTGTTTGAGTCCTCACCTCCCCACATCTCCCAGTTTTCCCCAAAATGGACCATGTCTGTAAACAGAAAGATGGGAAGCCCTCTCTGTTGACCCACTGCTCAAGGTCTAGAAGGCCGACAGGCTGCTCCTCTTACCCTGCTGATAGCAAACACTTAATTTGGTGCGAATGGAAACCTTAGCATTGTCTGACCTGCCAGTCCCATTGCCAAGGCCAACCACAGCCTTCTAGCTGCACCCCATTCAGCAGCCTGGACAGCCAAACAAACATCCATCCTAAGAATTAGTCCACCAGCCTCAATTGTCCCCTGGGACCAGAGGTAAGGTTTGACCTTCCCCAGATCCCCCCTCCCTACCCCTTGCCCCCCCCCCAAAGTTGGCAGACTAATCTATTAATTCCCTCTGGTCACTGTCTCTCACCCCCCCTTATAATCATTTGCTTTAATCAGCAGCATGGTTAAAATTCTGGCTTGTGGACCTTCCAGTCTGGTGGTCGTTTGTCTTGTTCTTGAGTTAAAGAGACACTGTCACCTTTTGTCCAGCGGTTGGCTCGTTTACATATTTCTATTTCTTTGTGTTCATTTTTTTTTAATAGTCATTTTAAAGCCATCACCCCGAGCCTGGAGTTTGGTATATGATGTCGATGTCCTGCTGTGTCCATTCCAAAGCTTTGCATCCCCTTTCCTGCCCTTTCCTTGTCATTGTGCTGACCCTGGGGCCCAAAGCAGGAGAAGGCTTTCTCCCCATCTTCCTGCGTGGTCCTCTCCCGTGGAGAGGCAGCAAAAATGTACAAGTGTTTTTGTTTTTGTTTTTTTTCTAAATCATGTAACTAGGGTTGCCCAACAAGGTATTGTGTTGGTCTGGAAGCCCAAAGCTTGATCCTAACCCTTTTCCCATTGCCTGCCTGCAAACCCTGGTCCCAGCTGGCCCAGTTTGAGTAGGACTGCTGGACCACCAAGGGAGGCGCTGGGCATGAGCCTAGGTTTGGGTCCCAAGTCCTAGGAGTCTCATAGGGGAAGAGGACAGGTGAGTGGACAGAGTGGGGGTCCGCAGGGGTGACAGTGTCCCTTTAAAGTCGAGACCCTTGCACCTGTAGTGAAATTAGTCTGCCTGAGTGCTCATGGGAATTTCTGAGGGATTGGGGTATTGTTCTCCCTCCAAAAAAAGGGTAGAGATGAGCTTGGGGGGTGAGGGGTGGGTCATGCTGGCACCTCCCAGCCGCCCGCTCCTAATGATGTGAATGTGGTCAGATTGTTTCCTTGCTTTCACTAACCTCACACCTCCCCCCGCTCTGGGCTCCTCCTGGCCTGGGGTCCTGCTGCCATTGGGAGGGATGATCAGCATCTACCTCTTGGGGCCTCCTGAGCCTGCTGTCTCTCCCTCCCCCGCCATGTCATTTATGTTGTTCACAGGTATCTCTCAGGAGACTCCAATGCCTACTTCCCTGGCAGCAATGGACTGGCCTTCCCATACCCTCCAGTGTCACCGACTCTGTTCGTCCCAGCCCCGCCCACCTTCTTCCACCTGACCAACCAGCAGCTGTTCAGGTCTCCACGACGGACATCCTCTTCCTCCCTTCCAGGACGACTCAACAGGGCCCTCTCTCTGGGGACCATTCCTTCCCTGACCCGAGCAGGTGAGGACCGGTTCAGCATCTGCATGAGCAAGAGACTGGTGGGGAGGGAGGGGGGAAAGGACAGAGCCTGGAGTCAAGGGCCTGGCTGTCGAGGCTGGCCCTGCCCCTTGTAAGGCCTCTTCTGGGCCAGCTGCCTGTGGCTCTCAGAGGCTTCTCAGCTGGCTTTAACCACCCTTCCATCCTCTTTGCAAAGTTACCTGGAAGCAGAGATTTAAGAATGATTGAATCTAAACCCTCACATTGTATAGAAGAAGAAATAGGCTGGGATAATTTTATGGCGTGCCCTAGGTCGTAGATGTAAGTGGCAAAGCAAGGATTTGAACCCAGCTCCTCTGACTTCAAATCCGTTGTTCTTTCCGGTAGCATGGTACTCCTCTGACCTTCCCTGGTCAGGCTGTGTAAGGACCAGATTAAGGCTTCAACCTGGCTTGTGGATCGGACAGCCAACACTGAAACTGATTCTAGGCATATTCTGTGCTCTAAAGCCTTTTTGACTCTGACATTGCCTGTTCTCAGGGCCCTCCCAGCTCTGACATCCTGTGTCCTAAGGCCCCGCCCAGCTCTGACATTCTGTGTCCTAAGGGCCCTCCTGGCTCTGACATTCTGTTCTAAGGGTCCTCCCAGCTCTGACATCCTATAATCTAAGGGCCCTCCCAGCTCTGACATTCTGTGTCCTAAGGCCCCTCCCAGCTCTGACATCCTGTGTCCTAAGGCCCCTCCCAGCTCTGACATCCTGTGTCCTAAGGGCCCTCCCAGCTCTGACCTCCTGTGTTCTAAGGTACGTCCCAGCTCTGACATCCTGTGTTCTCAGGGCCCTCCCAGCTCTGACATTCTGGGTTCTAAGAGTCCTCCCAGCTCTGGCATTCTGTGTCCTAACGGCCCTCCCAGCTCTGACATTCTGTGTCTTAAGGCCCCTCCCAGCTCTGACATTCTGTGTCCTAAGGGCCCTCCCAGCTCTGACATTCTGTGTCCTAAGGCCCCGCCCAGCTCTGACATTCTGTGTTCTAAGGGTCCTCCCAGCTCTGACATCCTGTGTTCTAAGGTACCTCTCAGCTCTGACATCCTGTGTTCTAAGGGCCTTCTTCTCTTTCCTCCTCACCCATTGTATGATCCTCTGCATTACATTGAATCTTTCTGAGTTATCCATCTTTCTCCACTCCCCCTTTTCAAGACCAGGAAATAAGATTGCAGTGGAATGACTGCTAGGATTTTTTGAATGGTACTCTGAGGGAGGGAAGAACAAGGATCTGAGGGCACAGTGGTTTGCTTGCCTTTTTTCCCTTTAAATAAAGTATCGTTAATTATCCTTTACAGGATAAAGGCAGGGTCTTAACTTCAGAAGGGGAATGATTCCTGCCCCTAATCTTTCCTTAGAAGATAAATGACAGGCTTGAGGAACAGGCCTTTGTCTGTAAGGATGAAGAGGGAGTTGAACCGGTCCCTCCCCAGTGGCGGGTTTGGGTGTCTCCTTCACAGCCGCACCCCCTGCCTTTCCTCCCTTTGAAGAGAGATGACACTGAAATCCCCTTTCTGGCTTTCACAAGCCCTCATTCAGGATCTTAGCAGGTGTGGGGGGTGTCTGGAAGAGAGACACCTTTCCAGTGCTGCCTCTGGGACAGCCAGTTGAGCTAGTCCTGTTCTGGATCGGGGCCTTTGACCCTCCCTGTGCCAATGGAGCACTTCAAGTTTAGTGTTGCTCCTTCTCTGACGCCAAGATGGCAGGATGCAGGGCACAGGGCGCTGGACTTGGAGACAGGACGCACCTGAGGCATTGCCTAGTGGTGGGACCCAGAACAGATCTCCAAGTTCTCTGAGCTTCACTCTCTGCAGCTTTAAAGATGCATGTCATAGTAACTCCCACCTCACAGTGTTATTATGAGGATTAGGTGAGATCATGGAGGCTGAGAAAGCATTTTACTAAAGGCTTACATTGGGACACAAAGACAGAAAGGAAAAATGTAAGCCATCATGGTAGATTGTAAGCTTTTTGAGGGCAGGAACAACTTTGTTTTGTTTTTGTATCCTAATAACGGAGCACAGTGCACAGTATACTGGTGCTTAGTAAGTGCTGGTTGGGTTTAGCCATAGCTGCTGCATGTTCTGAAAGGCCTTCCTCTGCCCAGTGGACTGGGGGTTCCTCACTTTGTGCCTTGGGCCCTCTAACAGGTCTAGGGACCCCTTCTCAAAATCGTGTTTTTAAATGCATAAAATATGTTGAATTACAACCTATATTAAAATGCAGGTATCAGTCAGGTATTTTTAAAAAAAAAATCATGGACCCCAGGTTAAGAATCTCTACTTAAGGGGCTTGGTTCCTTTACTTTTACAAGGACCCCTGTGATGTCTGTCCATGGTGCTGGAGGGCAGTGCTGAGGTACCTGTCCGTGGTGCTGGAGGGCACATTGTGTGTAGGCTAGATTGGGGGTCAGGAGAGAAGAAAGATGGTCTGCTAATGACAGGCTATGCACTGGAACATTATAGACACAAAAATCAAAATATTCTATATCCTTAAGGAACTTGCATTCTATTGGGGAAAACAATATGCACAAAGATGGTATACACAAACTAATTAGGGGACAAAAAGTGCTAATAACTAGGAAGAATCCAAAAGGCTTCATGTAGGAGGGGGCACTTGACCTGAGCCCAGCAAGGAGCTAGGAATTCTGAGAGAAATGAGGAAGGCGAGTCTGTGCAAAGCCATGGAGGCAAGAATTGGGTCATGTTGGTCACAGTGGGCCAGTTTAGTGGGAAGCACTCCTTTTAGAATTATTTATTTATTTTTGGCGTTCATTTAAAAAAAATCTTTGAGCTCCAGATTTTCTCCCTTTCACCCATTGAGAAGGTAAATGATACATCAGTTAAACATGTGAAATCATGCAAAACATATTTCTGTCTTAGTTGTTACAAAAAAAAAGCAAGAAAGTAGGGGAAAAAGTATGTTTCAGTCTTACTGAGAATTCATCAGATCTCTCTGTGCAGATGGATAGTGTTTTCCTCACGGGTCCTTTGGAATTGTCTTAGATCATTGTATCGATCATAATAGTTAAGTTTCATAGTGTGTCATCATTACAATATTGCTTTTACTGTGGAGAATGTTCTGGTTCTGCTCACTTCACTCAGTTTCAGTTCATGTAAGTCTTCGCAGATTTTTCTGAAAGCATCCTGCTCATCATTTCTCATAGCATAATAGTATTCCATTACAATCACATTAACACAGTTTGTTTAGCTATTCCCCAATTGATGGGTATCTCCTCAATTTCTAATTCTTTTGCCTGGAAGTTTGAGTATGTGAGAGAGTAATGGAAAATTTGACTGGAACCACAGCGGTCTATGAACACAAACCAAACAAAGCATAAATGTTTCATTGTAAAGAATTCAGAAAAAGAGGAGACTGGTGCAGGCAGAGAAGGCGTAGGGGGTGGGTCTTGAGCTGTGCTTTGATGGGTGGGTGCTCTCTAGCTCGAGGGAGAGAGAACATACTGTGTGTTCTAGAGTGAGATGGGAAGCTGAAGTGCTCTGCTGGAGGTGGCCATCCTCATGACATTCTTTGTTTCTCTTTCCTCTCCAGATTCAGGATATCTTTTTAGTGGGAGCCGCCCACCATCTCAGGGATCTCAGTCCAAGGAGGCGCCTCTGTCAGGCAAGGAGAAATACCGGATTTGGGGACTGGAGTGGGATCAGAGGATCACAGACTTGAGCCAGAGGGGACTTCGAGGCCATCTAGTCAAACCCCTTACTTTACACATGAGGAAACTGAGGACCAGAGAAATTAAGGGATTTGCCTAAAGTCCCACAGGTGGCAGAGCTGGGACTGGAAGGCAGGTTCTTTAACTTCATGTCCAGCCCTCCTCTTGCTGCACCCTCTAGAGGGGAGGGGAGAGAGTTGGGGGAAAGGGGAAGATTTGAAAAGTAGGTTTTTCAGAGGGTTAGTATTAATAGTAGTTCACATTTTTATAATACTTCAGTGATTTTTCTCACAATGAGCCAGGCATTTAATTCTGTTATTTCACATTCCCAGGCTTTGGGGGATGATCTCAATTCACAGTTGGAGAAACTGAGTCACAGTCACTTACGAAACAGCAAGCAGCAGGACTAGATCGAGAACGTCAAATCCTATAAGTTCATTGAATTGTGAAAGCTTTCAATCTCAGCTTTGTTCCCCCAAATACCATCTTGGTCCCTCTGAACTAGGAATGTGCTGAAGACCCTACTGGGCCTGGGTGCTGACGCAGGTTTAGAAAGAAGCAGAAGTCCCAGCAAGTGTATTCCCTGTTCCTTCCCTTCTGGTAGCCCCAAAGCTATAGCGGAAGGGCTAGGAGAGGGGAATATTTCCTGGCTTATCTCCTACAGTTATGCTTGAGGCTAGAGGAGAGAAGGAGAGAGACCCAAGTCAGAGGAAGAGTATTGGAAGTAGAGGAGCTTCCAGAACTCAGCAGCTGGAATGGTAAAAAGCATGGAAGAAATAAGAATTTATTAAAACACTTAGCTATGTGCTATGCAGAAAAATAATGGAAAATCATGAGTAGTATTGCTTCATGAAGCAGAAACAGTGGAAGGTAAAACTAAAGAAAACGACAAGAGACTCAACTAAGCTTTCATCTTGAGACTGTTCAAAGATAAAAATGGAAGGGCAGCAAACAGGAGAAGAATGGGAAAGATCTGCACAGATTTATTTTAAAATAGTAAACTTTTTACCACTAGGACAGTAGAGGCAACCCACTGGTATTCTTGATGATGAGCTAAAAGTGGCAGCAATAATGAGAACAAAAATAAGGAAAGAGCTGAATTGAACCAAGCATACGCAGAGGAGATCAGGGCTAGAGGGCATGATGGGTATGAAGGCCCAACTTGGTGTTCAGCTATACTGGACATTTCCAGATGTGCACAGTGGTGGCCAAGTTCTGTAAGTTTCAACTACATGTCATAATCTGGGCCGCAGATAGTCTTCATCCACTTGATCTTTCCTATGTGGATAGTCAGGCCAAACACTTTTTTTTAGTGATTATTGACGTCTTCCAGGAGGTTCTGCCAATGTCCTGAGGTTTGATGGAATCGACACGATATCAACCTGCAGCATCCACAGGGAATCTCTCTTCAGCTTAGACTCTGCTTTCAATCTCAGTCACAGAGGCAAACATGAGTACATTTATCTCCGTCTTATGCCTTGTCTGATGATGTTGAATAATTTTGGCATCTTGTTGAAAGAGAAATTCTAACGTGTTTTGCTTCGCCAAGTCAAATGTGGTTTCAAACAGTCACAAACAACAGGCATAATAGGATCTCGTATTTTATACATCTTTCAGTAAATTGTGTGACAGTAAAGGTGATGGTCTATTATGCAGCATCTCTTGTGGCAGCCCACTTTCACTGACTTCCTTCAGGTCCTGGCTAAAATCCCACCTTCTAATTGTACATATATAACCCATATCTGATTGCTTACTGTCTCAGGAAAGTGGAGAGGAGAGGGAAGGAGGGAGGGATAGAATTTGGAACTCAAAACTTGAAATAAAAATGTTAAAAAAAAATTGAAAAGCTCTTTTTAATGACCCCAAATTTCTTCGAAAAACAAAATTCCATTTTTGTCTCTACCTTCAATTCAGTAATGCAATTTAACAGACATTTATTAAGCACTTATTTATCTTTTTCAATTTTTACCTTGAACATTGAATAAAATGGGCATTTCCATATACATAGTAAAAGAGGATTATATGATTCTGTAAATCTCTTATATACATCTTGCTTTTCTTTTTAAATACATAATAAATTCAATATAATAATAGTTGGCATTTCCATAGCACTTTATTTAAGATTTGCAAAGTACTTTACCAGTATCTCACTTTATCCTTAAAATAACCCTGGGAGGTGAGTGCTGTAATCCCCATTTTACAGGAACTTTATGAGGAAACTAAGGTAAGCAGAGGTTAAATGACTTGCCAACATCACACAACTAGTGTCTGAGGTCAGATTTGAACTCGGGTCTTCATGACTCTGTTTAGTGTGTTGTACCACCGAGATGTAACCTTCAAAGCTCCTCCGCTTGTCTGATTCTTTCTGGCCAACGTTCTGTTCTTCTCTGCATTTGTTTTTAAACCAAATGCTTTAATGATATGTCTTTCCCCTTCTCCCCCACTTCTCTCTTTGTCTTACACCTAGCCCTTTTCTCCCTCCCAACCCATCCCGATTAGAAAGAGGGCAGGCTATAGCAAAGATGCCTCTTTGTTATATAATAAAGATACCTCTTTGTAACCAAAATACATTAACTATGTCTGAAAATGTATGTTCTTCCGCCCCTGAAGTCCTACCGCTCTGTCAGGAGGTTGGCAGTGGGCTTCGTTTTAGTGCCCTGGGACCCATCTTTTTCATACCAAAATTCTCCCAGAGTTGCTTTGTGGCTACAGCAGGGAACACAGCCATCTCCAAAGAATGGGAGATGAACATCACAAAAAGTGGGCGGTGGAGATGCATCCTTTGGTGCGCGTGGGCCGTGACCCAGCACCGGGAGGAATCTCAGAATAGGGGGGAAGCACACCCTCAGGGAAATGGAGACTAGGAAGGATGGGGTCCTGTGGGATGATGGGTGGGCAGCCCATTAAGTGCTCTGGATGTGCTGGACATGGTGAGTGGTGAATGTGTAGGAAGGGGTGGGTGAGGCTTGTGTTGAATAGACTCCAGTCTTATCATGGGATCGAGCTCTTGAGTCCATGGGATCATGGATCTGTTTGCTAGCAGTGAGAGCTGTCCAGCAGTGGAACAGGCCCCTGGGGGGTAATGGGTTGCAGCCCGATGAAAACTTTTCAAGTATGTTGTGTGAGACTGGTCTAGATGGCCACTGAGGTCCTTCCCAACGCTGGTATTCTATGATTCTGGGTAACCAGGATTCCCTGCTTCTCCTTACATCCACAGTGCTGGCAGAGAAACCCCTTTCCTCCCCTTGATGTCAGTTTCTGGCCGTGCTTTTATTTGTCACAGCTACTGAAGGTCCGATTTTTCTCACGACCTGCCCCTTCCTTGTGTCTCTTCCAGATTACTTCACTCTGCTGTCTGGGAGCTGTGCGTCATCCCCTCTTCCTTCTCCGGCTCCCTCCATAGCAGGATCTGTGGGCTCCAGCTCTGGTTCCCTTCGCCTCCGACGGCCGCTCATCAGCCCAGCCCGCCTCAACTTGAAGGGGCAGAAGCTTCTGCTTTTCCCATCCCCCGGAGAGACCCCCCACAGCCCCAGCAGCTCCAATGAGCCCAGCCTTGCTGATGGCGGTCCGCTCAACCAAGAGTTCTCTCGATTCCCTAGCAAGAGGCAGCCTGCACAGGGCCTCCAGCCCATGCGTGGTAAGTCATTTCCCCATCAGACTGGAAGAGGTGAGAGAAGCCTTGGGCCTGGGCCCTTTAAAGTTTGGCAAGCTACTTACGGAACATCAGGTCTGGCCCATCCTTGGGTAAGAGACCCATGGGGAGGAGGGAGGGAGCTGGGGGGCAAGTGGTGGCATTGATCTCAGGTGAGGTGATAGTTCTCATGGTCTCTGGCCTTGGAGGGAGGGCCTTGATAGTGGGAAGAGCTAATCAGCTGGCTTGGGGGGTAATGAGCTCCCTGTCACTGGAGGTCTTCAAGCTAAGGCTCAATGACCTGACTGTGTGGAAGACAGGCGATTCCTGTTGAGCTGTTGGTTAAGCCAGATGGCTGCCGGAGGTCCTCTGAGTTTATCAGGCCCTTGCAATTTAATTGAACAATTTATGAAAATAAAAATCCTCTGGTAGCCCCTGACACATGTGGTAAATAGAGACAAAAGTGAAGCAGGGTCTGGCCTCATGGAGTTTACATTCTCCTGAATGATTCTGTAATGAAACCAACTTAATGAACATACAGTAGTAGACCTTCCCAACTCCAGATCTGCAGTGAGCACCTTGGCCTCTGGGCCACCCTCCGGAATCTGGTTCCCTTCACCTGACCTGTAGTCATTAGGTTACCTCATGAGGATGTTGTTTCCTGTGCCCCCCTAGTCTGATTCCATTTTCTTTTCCTTCTGTGATTTTCAGTGACCTGCAGGGTCCTCCCTCCTCCGCTGCTTGTGGTGGCCGTGTGGTCACTAAAGCTGCTGCTCACCACTCCAGACGCAGCTGCCTTGCAGTGATCCTTGAGTGAGCAAACAGCTTTTGCTTTCCTGCAGGGGTTAGCCCCTAGGTTGTTGGGTCCCACCCCGCCCCCTCCTGAAACTTGACCCAGAGTGATGGGAAGTGACCAGACAGCTCAGGCCAGGCCTTCCCTCGTCTCCCCCGTGCTCAGAGCCTCTCGTGAAGTGTCTCTTTGTCCCCAGACTTGCGGTCCCACATCGAGAGCGGCAGCATCTGCAGTGACCACTCCGTCAAAAAAGAGGATGGCTCATCACGCTCGTCGGCCTGTGTGGTGGACACCACTACCAAAGGGTGCCTGGAGGAGGCCGTGGGCTGGAAAGGTGTGTGTCCCGCCCCTGGACACTGAGGGAACCTGTGTTCCCGGGCTCCTGACTGCAGGAGCACTTTACTAACTCCCATTTCTTTGTTCATGTAACTTCAGCAAACATCTATTTAGTAAATAGCGCCTACTCTGTGCCCAGCCTTGTGCTTGTAAAGACAAAACCAGGGCAGCCCCTGCCCCCAAGGAGCTTACATTCTAACGGATGCTTCTGTATTTTAAGGCTAATAAGCCTAGTGTAAGGAACGTTTCCTTCAGAGCTCCCTTCAAGCATCATTCCCTACATGAAGGCTTTGCTAGCTAAGGCCCCCAGCTGCTGGTGCTGCCCCTTAATTGTTTTGGGTTCTTCCAGCCCTGACGTTCTCCCATTCCAGTTCTCTCCTTCTTCCTCTTTTCAGCTCGTTTTGGCAACTCTGTGGTGCAAGGCCTCCTGGCCGTGAGCCTGGCGGCCAACGCTCTCTTCACGTCCGCCTACCTGTACCAGAGCCTGCGCTGAGCCCACGGCCCCGCTCCAGGCCTCCAGAGGGGCGCGGGGGTCTGCAGCCCCCAAACTCTGTGACACATGTTGCTGTGGATCCTGCTGGCCCCTCTTCTCCCTTCTCCCCCGTGGGCCTTGCTTGCCTCTGCAACTGAATGCTAATTGCTCCCCCCACCACCAGAGACAGCGCCAGTGGTGAGGACCTCAACAGGGTGGCAACCCGCTCTCCAGGAAACCACCTTTGAGCCTGCCCCCTCCCCTGCTGACATCTCTGGCTCTTTTCCCTCGAATCCCTATGGCTTTCGTATGGTGTGTTCAGCATTGGAAGCTGCTGCTGAGGAGAGAGCACAAGCTGTCTCAAAGTGGGGGGGCTGGCCAGCTCTCAGCACGAATCGGGCCCTGGGTCCCCCTTCCTCCCTTCTCTTTTCCGGACAAGGTGGCTGCTTTGCCCAGGTGCTCAGATGCTTAGGTTCCGAGTGGTCTTCTGGGTCTGCCTGAGGGCTCTCTCTGGTTTCCTTCCTCAAGCTGCTTGGCCTTGTGGTGTGGTGGTGTCTGGAGCCTGGGACCCTAGAATACCCTGTCCAGAGGGGCCACCACAACTGGGATGCTAGTCTGTAGCAGGGAGTGAGTGGAGGCCTGCCCTGGCCTGATGGGGACTCGAATCACCACCAGCCACACTGTGGTGCTGGCCTGTCCTTCAGGGACAGCTTTCCCAAGGACAGGCTGGCTCACTTGGGGCTTGGTTCGGGAGTGAGAAGACAGGCCCTTCCTGAGGTCTCAGGTGAGCCCGCTTTGTGCTTATTGGGACTTGAAAGCACGTGGATGTGCCTGTGTGTGCGTGCGTGCATGCCTGTGTGTGTTTCCTTCTGGAACCAGAAAAGTTCATGAATTTTAGGCCCCTTGGGTGGGAAGCTTATCATCTTAAGAACAAACATCCTCTGCCATCAACCTGTAGCAAGCAGACCCTGTTTCCTCTGTCTCCTGCTGGGGCAATGAAATCTGCTTTATGCCAAGGAAACACCTTCCTCTTTCCACCAGGACGTGGGGCTTCTGCTCCCACTCCCTCTCCCTCATCCCTTAGGGGATGGCCCGAGCAACCAAACAGCACCCGTAAAAATTGTGCATCTTGTCCCAGCTCACACTCTGGCTCCAACCCCATCCCTGACGAGTCCTGTTCAGCAGTCAGACTGCCTCCCTCTGCCCTCTCCTGTGTAGGTCCCTCTGCTCGGGGTCCTTGACCCAGCTCTCTTCATGTGGCCACTTTTTTTTTTTTTTCATTTTTTTCTTAGCCTATGGAGAGAGGGGCATTTAGGGATGTGAGCTAAGATCCAGCGTCCTCTCTCGAACCCTGATTTTTCCCAGGCCAGCTCCTCTCTTTCTCCCCACCCACTGCCAGTGGGGGGCTTCACTGTGAAACCTCTCCCCCAAATGACCTACCCTGTTCAAAGTCGATGGATGGTGCTACCTCCAGCCTTCTGTGCTCACCTTGGAGCCACCATCTGTATTCATGCAGGCTCTCATTCCAGCCTCCCTCCCTCCCCTTTCCTCTGCTGTACCTGCCTCTGTTTTCACCTCCCATTTCATGTTTTCTTCTGGTGACTAGTGGCATGGTGGTTTTATCCATCTGTACTTTTTTCTCCTTTCTTTTCTGACCTTCCCATGCCACATCCTCCCGTGAGTTTGAGAGTGATTCCAAGAGGGGGAAAGTAGCCTTTTGATATCTGGTGCTTGAACTGTCTGTGCTTGACGGATGAGGTGTGGCTCACGTCCGTATCTGTGTTCATGTTTGTGATCTGAGCCAAACTGTTGGTCTCGTCATCATTGGCTTGAGTTGAGATTAGGATGTATTTTGTGTGTGTGTGTGTGTGTGTGTCCCATAACTACGGCGTTTATGCTCATGGGATAGATGTCTCTGTCTCATAGAAGGAAGCCCCTGAACGTGAATGAATTCTTGGCAGGAATAGAGGGGCCAGGGAGAGAACATTGGGTCTTCAGAAGGCTGTCAAGCTTTACACATAGTTGTATTCAAGGAGTTTGTTTTATTTTTCTAAAAAAAACAAAACAAAACTCTTTTTTTAACCAATCAGGTGTTTGGGGAAAAGTAAACTGTCTTAGAATCTTTTGTCCTAGGAGACTTTAGGTTTCTTAATCTAGAAAGTTTTTTGTTACTATTTTTTAGCAAGTGTTTGAGGAAGGGATGGTGACTGGGAGTCAGCTGAGGCCTAAGTGAATTTGTCCTTCTCCCGTCCTCTGCCCTCCCTAATTTGGGATCTGTGAAGCTGCTTCCTGCCCTCCAGGGGTTCTTGGGCCTCCGGATCTCTTGGGGAGATGGAATTCTAAAGACTGAGGGTTCGTATATCTGCTTTTCTACAACCTTAACTTGGGGACTGAGAAGCAGCCTCTGAGTTAGGAAGACTTGGGTTGAAGTCCTGCTACTGACATAGACTGGTGGTATGACCCTCGGCAAGTCACTTGACCCCTATCAACTCTCTAAGACTAAGTTTCAGAGGAATTGATCTCCGAGGAGGGGAGAGGGGGTGTCACTGATCTGGACCTAAACCCACGCTTTCCGAAGGAAGCAGCTGTTGACTAGTGGTTGATGTCACCTAGTCCTAACTAATCAGAACTTAAAGGATAGGCGGTATTTTTTTTTCCAATTTTAATAAATTAGCCCAAACAGTGAGGTTTTTGTTTGCTTGTCTGTTTTAAACACAAACACCACCACTTTTCCCATTGGCCCCCTTCCCAAAGAAATAGTGGGGAAACTTCAAATAGTGCCGAAGTCTCCCAGCTGGGCTAGAACAGCCACGACCCCCCACCCCTCGAGACTCAGGCCCTGCCTTGAGGGGAGACCTCCTCCCTTGTTGCCCCCCCCAGCTCTTCTGGCCTCTGCAGGGGCTCCTTGCTGGGGAAGTCAGCTAGATCTCCACCCTCCCCCCAGCTTTCTTCACTCATCATCATTAGTGGGGCATGTGCTACCGGGTGGTATCTGACTGTGTCCTGGGGTGGGGGGGTGGGGCATGGCAGATGGGATGCGCATGTCCCAGCTTTGGAGTTTTGTTCTGTGTTTCAAGCAAAGAAAGACAAACCTTATTTTTCTTTATAAAAAAAAGGAAATTAAAAAAATAAGTTGTCTGTGGTATACTTTTTGAAATATAAATCAGTGTCATGTTTGCATTTATTTATGCTTCTGGTTTAGGAATCCTTGCCATTCCCTGGCCCACTTGGGGGATGGGAAGGTGAGGAGCCAGGCTTGGGATTGGGAAGGGAAGCTCCCCCGTGTCTGGAAATGTGATGGGATGTTCCAGGAAAGGAGAGGTGAGAGTCAGAAATTCTCATCCAACCCGGGGGCTGACAAATGCTCACTGAAGCCGCAGCAGTTTTAGCAGTTAGCAGGGATTTAGAGGTTTTCATGAATGTTAACACCACAACCTGGCAGTGCAAGAGAGGTACTGGGTCTCCTCAGGGCAGATGTGGAGGGGTGGAGTTCTGTTCTGGGTACCAAGTTTTCTTATTTATCTTGGGTATTACTGTCATTTTTTGTTCCTGTTTGTCAATACCAGCATGGTCTCCTAGCTTTCTCTGCTCCGTCTTTCTGGCAGTGTGGCTGCCAAAGCAGTATTCCTGAAGTGTGGGTCTGGCCATGTCAGCTTTGTGCTAAAGAACCTTCACTGGCTCCCCATTGCCTCTAGGATGGGATACAAACTGTTTGGCCTTTCATTGTGTGGCTCTAGCCTGCCTTTCTAAACTGCAGATGTTCCCCCTTCTTGCATTCTGTGGTGGTTCTCAAACCTTGTTTAGCCCGGGGCTCAGTGTTCTTTGCCACGAGGAGCCGCGGCATGCTGCTGAATTTGACAACAGTGTGGGAGAGGTAGGAGATACCCAGCGTGGGATTTCCCTTCAGTGAGAGAAGACCCTTTTTGGTGAGTTCTTTGTACAGTAGTGTGTACATGTGCTAAGTAAGTTTTATTCATTTTTTTCAAAAGGTACATGTAACCACACTGGATATGCTATTTAAAATCTACATTCAACAGAAGAGTTTTATCTTCAGTAACCAAACATCCAAAATCTCGGGGCACCCCTAGCAAAGCTAAAGATGCACTCTTGGGGAGCCACTGGTCTATTCCACTTGACTTCACTGTCCTTCACCCACAACATCCCCTCTCCTATCCTCATACCTAGAATAAACTTCTTCTCACCTGTCAGAATCCTAGTCTCTGTCAAAGCTCAGCCCAAGTGACTCCTGTCAGAGACCTTTTCATTCTCCTTAGCTTTGCACGTTACCCAATACAGGGAAAACAGTAAATAGTTGTTAATTTGTCTCAATCTCCACCCCACCCCCCCATATACCTTCCCCACACTTGTCTCTGAGGACAACAGGAATAAAGTTGTCCTGTGGATATTTTGTGTCCACTTAAATGTGTCTCTGGAGGGGCCCAGGCTGGCCGTCCTTCATTTCCTTCCCAGCCTTGTTCCTGAATTTCCAGAAAGAAGGAAACATTTATTAAGCACCTACTATGTGTTAGGCAGCATGCTAATTGCTTTACAAATGCGAGTTAGATATTCACAACAACTCTAGGGGGTAGGAAATTATCCCCATTTTGTACTTTAGGATACTGAGGCAAATAGGGCTAAGTGATTTGTCCAGGGTCATACAGCTAGTAAGTGTCTGAGGCTGGATAGCAGGCTTCTGCTGCTATCTCATCCCAGAACTTCCACAGCTCCTCGGGCCTCCTCACCTTGATACATCCAACCACCCCTGTGACCTTCTCACCCCGGGAAATCCCCTGTAAGATTGAGTTCTACTGTCAGTGAGTTCTTCCTGGTACCTCCATTTTGTGAGGGGCCAAGGCTGGGCATTGTCCTGCAGGATCAGTTCCTAACTTTCCAGGCTTCAAAACCATGGCCTCTCTGCTTTTCAGATCCCTTGTGGGTGTTCTCTTTCCCCATTAGAATGTAAGCTCCTTGAGGGCAGGGGCTCTTTTTTTGCTTTTATTTGTATCCCCACCACTTAGTACAGTGCCTGGCACATAGTGCTTCATAAATTGCTATTTTCTTCTTCAGTTGATTCTCCCAATAGAATAAGCACTTTGAAGATAGGCATTGTTTCACGTTTGTCTTTCTATCCCAGAACCTAGCATAGTGCTCGTTACTTGCCTGATTCCCAATATCCACACCCCCTACCTTGAACCCAGTTCATGAACTCAACAAGCATTTAATAACCAAAACTCCTCCAGTTAAACAGAACCAACTATCAGAGACAATGTGTACAGCATTCCATACTCGTAGTCCAACACTTCTCTAGGAACAAAGCGTGTTTCATTATCTATTCTCTGGAACAGAGACGGGCCAATACAGTCCCAGTGCCTCTGACTTTCCCTCTGCATCACTGTAGTCATTGGGTATGCTGGTCTTCTGATGCCCTTTTCTTAGCTCTGCTCATTCCAGTCTTCCAGGTGACACATTTTGGGAAGGAGGCTGACAAGACAGGATGGTGAATGGTCCAGAGAGAGTGCCTTATGAAGGCAAGGAATTGTATCCTGGAAAAGAGAAGACTACTGACTGGGAGATGGTGCCCGGAGTCTTGGGTGGTACCTTCAAGTGTTTGAAGGACTGGCCAGTGGAGGAGGGTTTTGATTTGCTCCACTTGGGTCCAGAAGGCCCAATGGGCAGGGAAGTTACAAACGGGCAGATCTAGACTCAATATTGTTTAGTCATTTCAGTCACGTCTGACTCTCCGTGATCCCATTTGGGGTTTTCTTAGCAATGATGCTCAAGCGCTTTGCCATTTCTTTCTCTAGCTCATTTTGCAGATGAGGAAACTGTCTCTTTGCCCTACTGTCATTTACACCCTGCCACGCATCCGGCCTGTATCAGCCCCACCATCTTCCTTCTCCCACAGAGCTGCCAAAGTAATCTCCCTAAGGCATAGGCCTGGTCATGTCAGTCCCCTGCTGAAAAGTCCTCAGTGGATTCTTATTACCCCCAGGATAAAATACACACTAATGAGCCTGGCATTTAAAGACCGCCATAACCTAGTTCCCTACTGCCTTTCTAGCCTTATTTTGTGCAGGACCTCTCACACTCTTCACGTACGAGCCAAAATGGCTTACTTGGCGTTCCCTGAACTTGGCTCTATCTCCACTCTGTGATTTTGTACAGGCTGCTTCCTGTGCTTCCTCTTTTCTCAACCCTGTTTCTAAGAATTCCTAGCTTCCTTAAAGACCCATCAGAAATGAAGGCTCCACCCTCCAGTTAGTAGCACTCTGTCCCTTCCTAAATCGCACTTATTTATTGATGTGTATCAAAGGGCATGTTTTCATCAACAAGGATTTATTAAGTATCTACCATTCATTCATTCAATAAACATTTATCAAGCACCCACTGCATGCCAGGCACTGTGCTAAGAGCTGGGGATACAAAGGGGAAAAAGACAATCCCTGCCCTCAAGGAGCTTACAGTCTAAAGGGGTAAAAACAACATATAAATGGGTAAGTTTTACACACACACACACACAGAAACTGGAGGGTGGGGAAGGCATAGACTTCAAGGGAAGGGTGGATTTATTAACGGTAGAACAAAGGTTCTGGAGAGCATGATGGGAAGGCCAGAGGAGTGATAGGAACATAGGAGGGATGGGACTGACATAGATGGGGAAGAGGAGAGGCAGCCAGGAAGGAAAACCAGTCACCTGCATTTTATTGGGACTAGCCTAACTGTAAGCTCCCCACCATCATTGTTGCCTTCTCCCCCCAAGTCATAGGTCACTTGGTCCCCCTATAGCAGGGATTCTTTACCTGGAATCTATAAACATATGTATGTATATAAACATGTATATATATACACATGTATGTATATATGGTGTATAGAGAGAGAGAGAGAGAGAGAGAGAGAACTATTTCAGTATAATTGGCTTCCTTTGGAATTCTAATGTATTTTATTTTACACATATAAAAATACTCTTGAGAAAGGGCCCATAGGCTTCACCAAAGGGGTCTGACATGCTAAAGGTTAAGAACCCCTCCCTGCTCTACAAATCTTCTGATCAGCCACACTAACACAGGAGCTAACTGTCCCGGCCTGTACCAGGACTGAGCTCGCACAGAGAAGCTTGGCCTGGCTGGTGACATCCCAGGCGATGAGGCCAGCCATTGCAGAACATTAAAGTCAGGCTGAGCCAAGGAAACTGTGGGACCGGGATTGCTTCACTTCCTCTGACTTTAATAATGACTGGCATCCATATGCCCTTTAACATTTACAAAATCCTTCACACATTTTTTTTTCTCATGGGAGAAATATGGAGTGGGTATTCTCTCCATTTCACCAGTAAGCAAACCAAGGCTCAGAGAGATTGAATAAGGTCACTGAACTTGCAAATGTCCAAGGCAAGATCTCTGAGCCCAGGGCTCCTGCCTCCAAGTCCAGCAGACCCAATCTTTCAGATTTGTTCCTCTTCCTTTCCAAGACACTCCTCTCCTAAATCTCTCTGTAGGAAAACAGGAAAGTGTCCCTAAGCCTATCTGAGCTCTTCCTCCATACCCACAGATTGTATTATTTCAGATAATATATTTATATCATATTGTTATATTGCTTAATATATTTATAGTTTTACATAAATGTATACTATTATATTTATGACATTAAATATAGGTTCTATTATATTTATATAATGTGTTAAATATA